TCACCCAATTTTGGGAGGACCTCCCCAATTTTTTGGACCCTCAGCCCCCAAAACCCCTGGAAATCCCCCCCCAAAGGGTCACCTGTAGAACCTGTAGATGCTGATCTTGATGTCTGATGTCTGATGCTGATCTGAGTCTCCAATTCCCAGCTCTGCTCACACCAGAGCCCAAACCCTCACCCAATTTTGGGAGGACCTCCCCAATTTTTTGGACCCTCAGCCCCCCAAAACCCCTGGAAATCCCCCCCCAGCTCACCTGTAGAACCTGTAGATGCTGATCTGGACGTCAGCCGAGTCTCCAATTCCCAGCTCCACCCAAACCCTCACCCAATTTTGGGAGGATTTCTCCACTTTTTTGGACCCTCCAAACGCTCAGAACTTTCCCAGCCCCTCCAAAAACCCCTGGAAATCCCCCCCCAAAGGGTCACCTGTAGAACCTGTAGATGCTGATCTTGACGTCGGCCGAGTCTCCAATTCCCAGCCCTGCCCAAACCCTCACCCAATTTTGGGAGGATTTCTCCACTTTTTTGGACCCTCCAGTGACTCAGAGCTTTCCCAGCCCCCCAAAACCCCTGGAAATCCCCCCCCAGCTCACCTGTAGAACCTGTAGATGCTGATCTTGATGTCAGCTGAGCTCTAATTCCCAGCCCTGCTCACACCAGAACCCAAACCTCACCAATTTTGGGAGGATTTCCCCATTTTTTTGGGACCCTCCAATGACTCAGCCCCCCAAAACCCCTGGAAATTCCCCCCCAGCCCACCTGTAGAACCTGTAGATGCTGATCTTGACGTCGGCCGAGTCTCCAATTCCCAGCTCCACCCAAACCCTCACCCAATTTTGGGAGGACCTCCCCAATTTTTTGGACCCTCAGCCCCCCAAAACCCCTGGAAATCCCCCCCCCAAAGGGGTCACCTGTAGAACTTGTAGATGCTGATCTTGATGTCAGCTGAGCTCTAATTCCCAGCCCTGCCCAAAAACCCTCACCCAATTTTGGGAGGATTTGAGGATTTCCCCACTTTTTTGGACCCTCCAAACGCTCAGAACTTTCCCAGCCCCTCCAAAAACCCCTGGAAATTCCCCCCCAAAGGGTCACCTGTAGAACCTGTAGATGCTGATCTTGATGTCAGCTGAGCTCTAATTCCCAGCCCTGCCCAAAAACCCTCACCCAATTTTGGGAGGATTTCTCCACTTTTTTGGGACCCTCTGTTGACTCAGCCCCCCAGAACCCCTGGAAATCCCTCCCAGCCCACCTGTAGAACCTGTAGATGCTGATCTTGATGTCTGATGTCTGATGCTGATCTGAGTCTCCAATTCCCAGCTCTGCTCACACCAGAACCCAAACCCTCACCCAATTTTGGGAGGACCTCCCCAATTTTTTGGACCCTCAGCCCCCCAAAACCCCTGGAAATCCCCCCCCAAAGGGGTCACCTGTAGAACTTGTAGATGCTGATCTTGATGTCGGCCTCGTTGGGTTTGCCGTTGCCGCGGAGGCCGCAGAAGATGCCCTTGATCCTCCCCACGCGGAAGGGCTCGGGGGCGTCCAGGTTGCTGCCCTTGATGTAATCCGAGGATTTCCTGTAGTGCTCGGGGTGCAGCTCCTCGTCCACCGCCTCCTTCTTGGGCCTCTTGGCCGGGCTGGCCGGTTTGACGCTGGGAAATTGGGGGAGGAAAACGAGGGGGAAGTGGTGAAGTTATAAAAATAAACACACACCACCCTAAGGGTTGAGTCCTGAATTCTTTAGGGGGTGGAATTTTGAGTTATCCGCCCCAAAAATGGCCGTGGGGTTGTCACAAGGGATAAATTCAGACCCTCAGGGACAAATCCAGACCCTCAGGGACAAATCCAGACCCTCAGGGACAAATCCAGACCCTCAGGGATAAATTAGACCTTCAGGGATAAATTCAGACCCTCAGGGACAAATTCAATCCCTCAGGGACAAATCCAGACCCTCAGGGATAAATCCAGACCCTCAGGGATAAATTCAGACCCTCAGGGATAAATTCAGACCCTCAGGGATAAATTATACCCTCAGGGACAAATCCAGACCCTCAGGGACAAATTCAGACCCTCAGGGACAAATTCAGACCCTCAGGGATAAATCCAGACCCTCAGGGACAAATTAGACCTTCAGGGATAAATCCAGACCCTCAGGGATAAATTCAGACCCTCAGGGACAAATCCAGACCCTCAGGGACAAATCCAGACCCTCAGGGACAAATTCAGACCCTCAGGGATAAATTCAGACCCTCAGGGACAAACCCAGACCCTCAGGGATAAATTAGACCTTCAGGGATAAATCCAGACCCTCAGGGATAAATTATACCCTCAGGAACAAATCCAGACCCTCAGGGACAAATTCAGACCCTCAGGGATAAATTCAGACCCTCAGGGACAAATTAGACCTTCAGGGATAAATCCAGACCCTCAGGGACAAATCCAGACCCTCAGGGACACCTTCAGTCCCTCAAGGACACGTCCAGACCCTCAGGGATAAATCCAGACCCTCAGGGACAAATTAAACCCTCAGGGACACCTTCAGTCCCTCAGGGACAAATCCAGACCCTCAGGGACAAATTATACCCTCAGGGACAAATTCAGACCCTCAGGGACAAACCCAGACCTCAATTTTTATAGGAACACCCTCATTTTTATAGGAACACCTCAATTTTCACAGGAACACCCTCAATTTTCACAGCAACCCCCTCCTTTCCACAGCAACCCCTCAACTTCTCCCCCGCTCTTTGCCACCTTCCGACCTCCCCCGCTCCGTTTACCCCTCGGATCCCCCACCCCAAACCTCCACCTCCTTTTTCCCCCCAAACCCCACAACCTCCTGGGATATTTTTCCCCCTTTTTTTTTTCCCCCTCTCCCCACACCAACCTGAAGGAGAAGGCCTCGGGCAGGAGGCAGACGCCGTCCCCCACCTCATTTTTTTTAAGAACACCTTAACTTTTTAACCTAAATTTGAGGTCTCAGCTGCTCCACTTACAACAGAAAGTGGGAGTTGGGTTAAAAACCCCCTCCATTTTTATAGGAACACCCTCACCTTTATAGGAAAACACCCTCCTTTTCATAGAAACACCCTCATTTTTACAGCAACACCCTCATTTTTACAGCAACACCCTCATCTTTATAGGAACACCCTCATCTTTATAGGAACACCTCAATTTTATAGGAACACCTCCATTTTATAGGAACACCTCCATTTTATAGGAACACCTCAATTTTATAGGAACACCTCCATTTTATAGGAACACCTCAATTTTATAGGAACACCTCCATTTTTATAGGAACACCTCAATTTTATAGGAACACCTCAATTTTATAGGAACCCCTCCATTTTTATAGGAACACCTCAATTTTATAGGAACACCTCCATTTTTATAGGAACACCTCCATTTTTATAGGAACACCTCCATTTTTATAGGAACACCCTCATTTTTACAGGAACACCTCAATTTTATAGGAACACCTCCATTTTTATAGGAACACCTCCATTTTATAGGAACACCTCAATTTTATAGGAACACCCTCATCTTTATAGGAACACCTCAATTTTATAGGAACACCTCCATTTTTATAGGAACACCTCAATTTTATAGGAACACCTCCATTTTTATAGGAACACCTCCATTTTTATAGGAACACCTCAATTTTATAGGAACACCTCAATTTTATAGGAACACC